TACATGCATACACACGGAACAATACTAAACATTATATTATGGTTGATTTTCCGGTTGAAAATAACCTGAAAAGTCAAAAAATTTTAAAATTGAATAATCGAAATCGACCAAAAACCCTCAGTTATGTTTTTGGTTGACGGTTATAGGACAATTAACCAAATATTTACTCACCCCTTAAACTTTATATAATTCTCCTTTCAAAAAAAAAAAAAAAAAAAAAAAAAAAAAAAAACCTTATATAATTCTTTGTCCACTTTTTGAGGTGATGATCAAAGATGAATGATATTATTTAAGGTGCAGTGTGGGTAAGAAATGTGAATTATGATGAACTAATAAGTATCTAACCTGATAGACTGATAGTGTATTGAGGCCATTGAATGAGGTGCCGCCTTGATCATCATCATCACTTTGAATATAATGAGGTCTCACCTCTCATCTCTCTGCACTGCTACTTTGTTTTAATTTCTTGATTGTTCCATCTACAAAATTTGTGCTAATTTATAGCAGGCCGGATATGCTAATAACAGACTTTAATTTGTATTTGACAAAATTAAATATTTAATTTAATGGATATACACAACTACTCAATGGAAGCAAGTTTAACGTGAATATTAATCCCAAAAAACGCATTCTAGCTGGTGATCTGATCTGAGGTTCTTTTTGCATGCATGCTGCATGCTCCGCATGTATTATACATGCATTACCTAATACTACAAATGGCACAAAATATGCAAATGGCTTTTCCTTATAACTCTCTTTTCCTTACATGCCCGAACCCGTCCACTGCACCAATTGTTATATGGTGGACCATGGTCCATACAGCTGTGTGGATTATGGTCCAAAAACGATACCCTTTTTTGAAGTAAAGAAATGGCAGTCGTTATATTTAAATAATTTCGTATTTATAATGTGCTTAGAATAAAATGAAACTACAGTGTTTCTAAAATAACCTGAATAACATGTCTCACATATTGAATGTATATTGTTAAATAAAATTATAGTTGGATTAGAATGATACTTTAATTGTGCTGTAATAAAACTATATTGTATCTAAAATGAAAATGAATAACAAGTCTCATATGTGTATATTATCAAATGAAACTATAGTTAAATTAAAATGATACTTTAGTTGTGCTGAAATGAAACTAAAGTATGTACAAATTGAAATTGAATAACATGTCTCACATATTGAATATATATTGTCGAATGAAACTATAGTTATATCAAAATGATACTTTACTTGTGTTGTAATGAAACTACAGTGTATATAAAATGAAATTGAGTAACAATTTCACATATTTGAGTGTATATTCTCTAATAAAATCGTAGTTGAATTAAAATTGTACTTTAGTGGTGTTGTAATAGGCAAATTATGCTATGAGCACGTGACCACGTTGTAAGGTGGGCACGGTTCCATATTCATAATTTCTATACTATAGATTCATAATTTCTATACTATAGATACATAATTTCTATACTGTAGATTCATAAAATTTATACTTTAGATTTCAATTGTTGAACTCTGTTTTCACAAATCAGAGAACTATATGTTCATAATTTGATAACTATACAGTTTAGAAATTATGAATTTACAGTACAGAAATTATGAATCTACAGTACAGAACTACAGATATTATAAATATGTCGTAGTATAGAAATTATGAATCTACTGTATTTAAATTATGAATCTAAGGTTTAGAAATTATGAATCTACAGTATAGAAACTATGGATCTACAATATAGAAATTATGAATCTACAGTATAAAAATTATGGATATGGAACCGTGCCCACCTTGCAAGGTGGGCACGTGCTCACAGCATAATGTTCCGTTGTAATAAGACTACAGTGTGTACAAAATGAAATTCAATAACATGTCTCAGATATTGAGTGTATAATGTCAAATAAAACTGTAATTGAAACAAAATAAGATTTTAGTTGTGCTAAAATGAAACTATAATGAGGGACGGAGCCAAGATGGGAGGGTGCGGGGGGGGGGGGGGGGGCAACGACAATAGAAGTTTACTAAATCAAATACGTTGATATCCATTTAACATATTTCAACATAATCAATATGTTATAAATTTACTAAAATTTAGATCTAGATCACAATCCGTGAACTCTGCAATATACCATAATCTGTCAACAAATCACGCATAATAACCAGACAAAAAAAGAGCTAAGAATCTGCAGTAAAAGAGGAAGAAGCGGCAAATGAAGAGGCAGTTAGTTGGTTACCAAAAATGGATTGACTTCTTGCTCTTCCTCATCGAAAGGGTTGAGATCGGCTGGCTGATTTATGGTGTAATTAAAACCTTCAAATTCGCCCAAAAAAAAAAAAAAAACTCTCTAGAAAAACTAATTAATACGAAAATAAATCAGTTTTGAAGGAACACTAGAGTAATTCATCAAAATTCAAATGATTCAAAAATTCAAAAAGAAAAAGGAAAAATTACTGTAGACTTGTAGCGTGAAGAAAAAGATATGAACTATTGTCTACTTGTCTGGTATGAGATTGAAAGCCAATAAAAATTATGTATAAAATTTACTCTAAAAGCTTGATTGAAGGGGCCAAAACATTTTGATAAGGGAAAAATTTCTACACTTTCCACTTTGTTAAGTGGCATTATAATATTAAAAAAAAAAAAAATTGAGAAGAGGCTGCACTGTCCATGTGGCTCTGTCCCTAACTATAATGTATATAAAAAGAAACTAAATACATCACACAATTAAAATTAATTGGACATAGCGAGTATTATTTCTTTTAATGACATCGTTTCACTGCATAGGGCTACCTATGGGATACAGGCATACAATAGTGGTCCGGGAAATCGGGAATTAAAGTCGGGTCACATTTTAGCGGGAAACCATTCAGGAATTCAGATATAACCAAATTGACCCGCTAAATTAACTACTTTTTCTTAAATTCAAACCCTAGCCTAATCTAAGGCTTCAGTTGAGCTGTTTTGGAAGAATATCAAGAAAAAATTCTCTTTATGAACTCCAGTAGACACCGAAAGGTACGATGAATCCTACATCTTTTCCTGATCATTAGACCCCAATCCCCATTTCCTAGTTTGCATAATGGGGATTTTGTTTATTGCTATTTCTAAATGCAAACGCTGTAAATTGATTTTCGTTTTCTTTGGAAAACTAGAAAAGTTTTTATTTAATCTTTCTGGATTTCTGTTCTCTTCCTCCTTTTTTCAGAATTCAAGTTTGATTTTGAACTAAAGCCTTACACTACACGTACTCTATAGTCTATCCTGTTCTTGTAACATACTTTTTCTTTCCCCTGGGAAGAATGATTCAGGTGTGCAAAGAGTGGATGAACAAACCTTGGGAGATCAACCGGGATGAGGTACTATAAATTTTACATCTTTTCCTATAAGTTCCCCTTTCATTGTTTCTACAATGCGAATTCTAATCATTGCCAGTTTCTAAATGCAAAGGCAGTTAATTCATTTTCATTCTTATTGGAAAAGGAAGTGAAATTTTCGATTACTATTATGGATTTTTTTTTTTTTGTTTAACACATTTTTTCTCTGCTCAAGAATTGATAAGATCAAGTGTATTTTAGGTGCTCAATATTATGCAAAGTTAATGCAAATAGTTAAAAACCGAAACAAACTTCAGTTCATAATGCTACAAAGAATTGAATACAAGGAAACTACAATCATTGAACACTGAATTAATGTCAAATTCAAATGAACACTGCTTTGTTTTGCACTGTCAAGTTTCACCCTTTATCCAAACAAAACACAATTAAAGAAATGCAGGCGAATTGAAGGTGGATGCTAGAAATGAAAGTAACTAGCCAGCCCCAAATGCAGGGAATAAAATTGAGGACTATACTTAGAAGCTAAAGCATGAAAAGTTTATTTTTTTGGATTTTGTTGAATGGTGTGAGCGGATGTTCTCAACTCTCAACAGATTGGAAGATCTGCAGGAGGAGCCTCCAATGCTTCCAATTCAGTAACTCCGTTCTCCACTATGAAAGCCATGGCCAACCCCCATGTAATGTGGACATCCAAGTGACAATGCATTATCCAAACTCCTGTTTGATGCAAAATTATTATGAGTTAGTTTATATATAAGCAACCAATGAGCTGAGTTTTATTTGAAAAGAAGAAATAAATGAAAAAGAATTGACAAAATTGTTAGTTAATCTCACCTGGATTATCTGCAACAAAACGGATGACTGTCCATCCATTGACTGGTACACTCGCTGTGTTTCTAAGAGGTGGGTTCACTAGGTTAAACTTAGCTGTATCTTTTTTTGGATTGAAGTTTCCAAAACCCTCGGCAATGATGTAGAAATCATATCCATGAAGGTGGATTGGGTGGTTTTCAGCTGTGAAGATACTTGTTCCCTGCAGCACTACCTGCACTCTTGCCCCATATTTCAATCTGTACACCTTTGTTCCAGAAGCAGGTTGCCAAAGTGATCGGCTAACATTACCAGTATAATCAAACTTAGCTGGTGGAGCGGCTGGAAAGTCAGTTGTGAAAACTCCTGGGATACCTTGGTGATGTGCCTGCAGTAGTGAAAAGTTGGATGGGAGCACAAAAGACACATTGTTCATGCTGGCAGTGAACCGAGTTCCATTTGGTCCCTGACAATTTTGGGAACTTGCGCCCTTGGGGCAGTTATTGAGTCCTAGACCAACTGTGATAAAGAGGTTTTCGTCAATTTCAGTAGGCACCTCAACATTTCTTAGACTTCTGAAACTCTTTGTGAAGGCTGTGGCGGTTGCTGTATCATTATACGCTGGTAGAGATGGGAGAACCGGACTTGTCTGACCACCCTTGTACTGTAGGATGGCTGTGGTTGTAGTGTTATCAAACGGTGCACCTTGTGCACTGGCATATGCTCGTGCTGCCATGTAGTAACGGGCCGGTGGTTGATTGGTGTTAATTAGGACATCAGTAGTCTGGCCTGGACCCAGCATTATGACTGAGGTTGTAAAGGGCTTCACATAAGATGCATCCGCTCCAACCACTGTGAGTGTGTGGTTGGCTACCGAGAAGAAAAGCTGTTGATTGAGTGCAGCGTTGATAACTCTAAGGAGGTTAGTCTCGCCTGAGTCCACTTGGACTACTACAGTTTCTGTATCAAAATATAGTAAAAGTGATTAATTTCTTAATAACTGCCAGCCAACCCAATGAAGAATGAAATTTCATGCTTGGTCATTCTGGATTGGCTTTGAAGTCTGAAATTTTCTTAAAAACTGTGTTCTTTGCTTCAATTTGCTAGTTCTTTCATAAATTAAATTTTTAATTCATGGACAGTTTTGGATTAGTTTAATGGATGCTGGATCTTAAGACTTTTAGCCATTTTACTGAAATCCTTACCGTCTATGATGCAGAACAGCGCAATCATGTCTGTTTTTTTTTTTTTTAATATCTATTGAAAATTGTTTCAAGGAAATGCTGGAGACTAGAAGTGCTCATAAAGCTTACCTTGGCTGGAGCACTTGTACAGATCACCAGGTTGACCATTGATAGTGAATGCATTTGATACATTTGGAGCTGCTCCAGTTTTCTGAGCTTGTCTTATGACATCAATGGGGTTTGCATCCCACCACTCACCTGGTCATCATTGTTATCAAAACGTTTTCAGAAAATTTTGTTTAAAAGCAAAATATTGCAGAAACTGGAGGCCAAGAGCAGTTAAAGAATTGTTTGCTTAATCTTTTCGTCCATTTAAGCCTTTGGTTAACAAGGAAACTCACCAAGTATAACGGGCGTTTCTCTTGTAGGCTTAGAGAATGGATAGGATTCCCCTGCCCTTGGGTGGATGATAAGAGCTCCATAGACAGTTGCCCTAAGCCATGAGCTGTGGGCATGCCACCAAAGTGTTCCTTCCTGACCGTTAACTGTAAATCTGTAAGTATAGCTCCCTCCTGGTCTAATTGGGCACTGTGTAATGAACTCTGGTCCATCTGCCCATGCTGTTCTAATCTGCCGGATACCATGCCTTTTTTGGTACATAATGAGGAGACAAAATAAAAAAGTATTATAATAAGCCAATAAATTCATTTTCTTTATTTGCAAATATATTTACTAGTAAATTGGTTCACTTGGAAAGTATTGCTTTGTTTATTAACTTACCAGTGAATGGTGACATTGTATTGTGCCTTATTGATAACCTTGATCTCTAAGGTATCGCCATTGTTCACTTCCAAGGTTGGTCCAGGGAACTGTCCATTCACCGTTATTGTGTTATGGGTATTACACAGCCTCTTCACTGGTGTTGCTTGAATCTGTTACATAACAACTCACATCAGTATCCTCCGGTTTCTGATCGAGAGCCAAATAGAAACCAAATGAAATTGAAAAATTAAGAACCAAAGAAAGAGTATAGTTAAGACTGATCGAATTCATACAACAAACTGGTGCTTGTGAACTTCAGCATTTGCCAAAGAAAATGCATTTGCATAGAGAACCAGAAGGCCAATGAACAAGAAAGGGCAGAGCGGTTTAGCAATGCTGTGGCTGAATGCTTCCATGTCGCACTTCGGGGTTTATCAGGTAATGATAGATGTTTTATGGTTTTACTTGGTGAAGAGAAAGAGTAGCAATGCCATTCTTTTATACTGGGGGATGAGGTTGGTAGATTTGGTTTCAGCATGATTGTCAGCTTAAAGGGCATACTTAGTTCAACCCTATAGGAGTTGGTGCATCCACTAACCTATCAAACTGCTAAATTCTCATAATACTTTGCTTCCTTAGACTTTTCTTGAGCATGTTTTTCTATGCATAAGCATCATTAGATTTTGCTTCACATTTCACCTTTCAATTATTCCTTGTAACTGAAAGTTCATTGTTTTGCATAATAGTTTGGTGGTCTACTAACCAGATTAATGTGGTGGGAAGGTTGAAGAAACAATATGAAAGGGCTAGGAAAATGGGTATATGCTTTTTTCTGGAGTTGTTAATCTTTACTGTGCTGGGTATTTATACGGTTTGATATTTTCTTGGCTGGCCTTCGTTCACTCCTGATAGAAGATTGTATATTTGTATTGGTGTTGTTTTGTCACGTTTCTTGTAGTCATTTCGTGTTTCTTAGAAAAAAAAAAAATTTGACTAATTTACTTTATCTAGTTATCTATCACAGACTCATAATTAATTATATTAACATTTGATATTTTTTTGAGTGGCCTTCGTTCACTCCTGATAGAAAATTGTATTAGTGTAATAGTGTTGTTTTGTCATGTTTGTTGTAGTTATTTCATGTTTTTTAGAAAAAAAAAAAATGGCTATTTTAAAGTTATCTATCATAGACTCAGTTAATTATATTAGTGTCATGATCTTTGTCTTGCAAATATAGTTGATTATATACGGAGTAATATTTAGTTGAAATGTGATTAGTATAATGATATTTATCTAATTCAAATGTCTTGGTGATAAAGCAATGATCTTGAAAGTCAACTATCATTAGGTGTCCATTGGAAAATGTTAATTACTACTACTATTATGTTTTATAGCGTTTGTGAATAAATTCAAGAATTTTTTTTAAATTTTTTTTTATTATTATTAAAAAAAGTTTTAAGCTTTAAACTGCTCAAAGTAGCTTTTTCGATTGAGTTTTTGAAAAAGTCATTTTGCATGTAATCCGTTATTAACTAACAGTTAATTTACCAAAGATCTCTCTACAATTAACTAATGTGATCAATTAGTCAAAACCTCTAACCTAATCAGCTAAAAGTTATTTACCAAACACCACCAAAATCTAAAAGTTTTCATATATCTTAATCTTAAATTTGATAATTAATACATTTTTTTTTTCAAATTCAAACAAAATTTAGTTAAGAGAAACTTTGCAAAATGCAAAGACAAGTTACCTTAACAAATTAACAATAATGTCTCCTATAGTGGGTAGGCTGTCAAGAAAAATTCACATTCCCTTCATTAATTTCTATTTATCTATCTTTAAAATTATTTAAAAAAAAAAAAAAAAAAAAAAACTGTCTGTACTGTTAAGTTAACGGCAAGAAATTGTAATGGACAACCGTTAGTGTCTTAAAGATGAAGCAATATCTATCAGTCAAAGTAGGGATATAGTCAATGTGTAGAGAATGTGTTGATTGTTGAACAATAAATAAACTTCTCATCACTTCTAACCACCCATAATTTTATGCAAATAATTCCGAAATCTTCTAGAAACACAAAATTTGGGTATTTTCTTTATCAAATTGACGAGTTTATTTATTCTTTACAAATATTCTGGTAAGTTTTAGTGTAATTAACACTTCTAATTATCAATTGATATCTCTATCAATCCAATGGTTGTAAGAAACATAACTTAATGACCCTGTTTGGTAACCTAGTTAGCTTATCAGTTAATTTTAGTTTATTTGATCACTATTAGCTATTTGACTTGGTTAAACAATTCAGGCCCGTATTTTGACTTGGTTAAACAATTAACAATCAAAACGAGTGTTTGATTAATTAGCATTTTATAACAGCTTATTGCTCCAAAATGCTAAAATTCAAAAAGCTATTCAAAACAGTTTTTCAATCAACTGTTTGAAAAAGTCATTTTACAAGTAATCAACTATCAATTAATAACTAATTTACCAAACACTTTTCTATAATTAACTAATGTCCTTAACTAGTCAAATTTATTAACACAATCAGTTAACATCTATCAGCTATTTACCAAACACCCCATATCTATTTTTGGTAAACTAATGAGAATGGTGGTATAGGTATTAATTTGGTTCTCAATATAATAGTGATCTCATGACAAAGTTAGCTTGATTGTTTTAAAATAATAATAATAATAATAATAATAATAATAATAATAATAATAATAATAATAAAACTTACTCAGATGCATATGGTTCGAATTATTATATTTTTACTTTTACATCACTGAAAATCTTATGTTATTTAAGAATGTCGAAAGATCTAATTATTAAGAATATGGTAAAAAACGAATTACAACATCATTCTCAGAAATTTCAATTCATGTGCTTTGAAATTAAACAATATCATATAATATTATTCTTGTCTCAGTTTACTTGTTATGTTTAATATTCATTAGTCAAATTAACTCTACTTTATTTTTTTTTAGTATTTTTTAATTTTTAAATTTGATTTTTTTTTTGTGTAATAGTACTTTTAATGTAATTGCTAAATATATAAATTTAACTTTACCTTTTTTTTTTTTAGTATTTTTTAATTTTTAAATTTAATTTTTTTTTGTGTAATAGTACTTTTAATGTAATTGCTAAATATATAAATTTTATATCTTACGAGTACTTAACTTAATATTATAAAAAATAAAATTATAAATTACTTTGTTCAAGTCATGGGATGAGGAGAGTATTAACCTTAGTAACTTGAAATTTCTGAACACATATAAAAGTTTGGCTTTAATGATAAGTATGTAACGAATTATAGTGGGAAAGTCTTTACTTAGTAGTTGAAAATGTTGAAAAATAATAACTAAAAGTGATAGATTAACTATTACTCCGTATTATTGTTTAGAGGGCTAACAACTAGTTAGCTGGTCAAAATACACATCATTACTTACTCTTGTTCATCATTGTCTTGCTAAAAGTCCAAGAAATTACAGATAATTTAGCACTAAAGAGAAGCTTACCAAAGTAATCAATTACTATTATCTTAGATGATTTTTTTTTTTTTTAATGACGAGAGAGCTAGGTAAATCATGTTCCTTTGTAATAGTTATCAAATTATACAAAATAGGTAAATCACACTATAAAAGAAAAAAGTGTCATTTCGATAGATGAAGCATCACTAAAAAGCATTTCAACTTTAAAATATAAAACAATTAAAAAGAAAAGGGAAAAGGGTCAAATAAGCTCTCAAACTTTATTTATAAATTAAGCCCCTAAATATTATAAAGTTGCAATTACACTCATAAACATGTCATTTTGATGCATTGAAGCCCACCAACCAGTTAATGACCTGTTATTACAGGTCACTAAAATTCCGGTGACCTTCTAACCCACTCCAGCGACATTCTGATTAACTCCGGCGAATTTTCGGTCAACTCCACCAAAATTTAAAGAAAAACACTGAAAAAAAGTGACCATAAGCTGGGCTCTGCGTTTCCAGACTGGGTTTCTTCTACTGCACCGCCGACGCTTGGCTCTGCGTTCTGGAAAAGCTCCGGGCCGTCGAAATCCAGTGCCCTCTCGACTCGGAGCTCACCAATAAAGTCTTCACTTTCCACACCTCCACCAAAAATTTCTTCAGCTCCGTCGAGGTCATGGAGGCCAACCAATATACACTCGTGAGAATTGCCGGAGGCATGTGACTTTTGGTCACTTTTTCCAGTGTTTTACTTTAAATTTTGGTGGGGTTGATCGGAAATTCGCCGGAGTTAATTGGAATGTCGTCGGAGAGGGTTAGAAGGTCACCGAAATTTTAGTGACCTGCAATAACAGGTAATTAACTTGTTGGTGGGCTTCAATGCATCAAAATGATATGTTTATGGGTGTTATTGCAACTTTGTAATGTTTAGGAGCTTAATTGACTTTATAGATAAAGTTTGAGGGCTTATTTGACCATTTTTCCCAAAAGAAAATGAATTGTCAAGGACTTTTGTAGTTTTATGGTGTAGACGTGAGATTATATAAAATTGGGCTTGTTTGGCAATCAGTAGTTAGCGATTAGTGGTTATCAGATAGTGGATTGTATTAGCGGCTTTGACCAACGAATTTTATTAGCGGTTTGTAAAAAAATATTTACAAACCGCTATTTTACCAAACATACATTTTGATGTTTTGACATGATCAAAATGTCAAAAATATCGGATTCGCCATTTACCAAATATGACCGAAATGTCTCAAAATGGATTTCATCACAATGTATGATTTGTATCAGCAATGGGTTGGGCCCTCGGCTTAGAAGGGACTTCGAGGGCAATTTATATCGTGCACCAGGGTGTGCACAACACTCTGCGTCCTGGTGCAAAGCGACGTTGTTTTGGAATTTTTTTTTTTTTTTTTTTTTTTTGGAATTCCGCTTCCTCTGTCGATTGTTAATTTTCTTTAAAAAAAATCTCATGTTTAAAAAATGTACATAATTGTATACTAAAATGTACATAATTATATATTAGAATGCACATAATTGTATAACAAAATACACATACATTTTTTGAAAAGATAATACACATAATCTAACATAATACATAAAACACATAAACTTTTAACATAATACACATAAACTCTTAACATAATACACATGAATTCATTGTTTCGGATGTACATAATTGTATAAAAAAAATGTACATAATTGTATAAAAAATATACATAATTATATAAATAAATGTACATAATTGTATACCATAATGTACATAATCGCGTCAACTTCCTACACAACTTCACAAAACGACGTCGTTTTGGGAGACATGGAGCGCACAGTGTTGTGTGCGCCATGGTGTAGGGTATAACGATTGGTCTTCGAGCTTGATAACCAAGATGTGAACATTGTTGAACATATAATATATAAATGAGATAAAGTACAAATAAACCATTGAACTATTTGGGAAACAACAATTAAGTCATCGAACTCAAATAACCCCTAAATAAGTCATTGAATCCGATAAAAAGAGCAAATAAGCCATTGAACCAGGATTAAAAAAAAAAAAAAAAAAAAAAAAAAAAAAGGCAATTAACATTTGTAATAAGTTAACTCCAGGTTTTTGTTAATTGTATTGTCAAATGTTTATTTTATTTACGTTTATTATTATTATTATTATTATTATTATTATTATTATTATTATTATTATTATTATTTCACTGGATCTTCTATTTTGTCTGGTTAAGATTTGATTTATTATTATTTATTATTATTATTTTTTTACTGAATCTTCTATTTAAAAAATAATAAATAAATAAATTAGACCTACAAAACTATTTTGTTTTATAATTACTTTAAAATATATTACTATGTAGGTGGATTATAATAATAATAAAAAAAAAAGTAAATAAAATAAACATTTGACAATCCAATCAACAAAAACCTGGAGTTAACTTGTTAAAAATGTTAATTGCTCTTTTTTCCGAGTTCAATGACTTATTTGGGAGTT